AATTTTCACATTTTCCAAAGAAAAGGACTAACTCACACAAAAACGAACAAGCACACATGTGTACATATGGATGGCATATACATGTACAATAAATCTAAGCCGATTTAATAAAGGGCATTAAAAAATATCTATTTTGTCGAATGAGAAATATGAAATCGGCACAAAGTCAGCATCAGCAGGAAAAAGGCCAAGTCCAGGGACAACTTATGGGGCAAAAGGACTCACACACCCACACATACACTCACTCAAGTTGATTGGAAAAGTGCCTCAATGCTACTTGGGACGTAGAAGAAGCCCATAAATGATGTGGCACCCCATCCCTCTGAGGGAACGGGGATTAGAGATGGGTTCTGAGCAGATGATGAAGATGATGACGATGGAATAGGGTGGAGGGTTGAAAAAGAATCAAAGGCTAACTGACCGACCGCCCACGCATGATTAAAAACCTGATTTTGGGATACCTAAAGGGTGATGGCAGGCAGGGAGGAGTAAAGGAGTGCACCTTTCAAGTTGAGTAAATGAGCATTGAAGCGTTCAAGATTATCAATATGCATGAATGGGTGGAGGGGTGAGGAGAGGGGCGACCAAATTGTAGTTAAGTTCAAGTGGGCACAGAATCCAGAAACTGTTGGGGATATTGGGGATGAGATTCTGAAATGGGTTTGTGTGTGATTAAGTGAGGGAAGTGGTGGCCCTTTTCCTGTATTCCATATCTAAATGAAGTATTTACTCGCTCGTTTGAGCAGACAGCCACAAGAGGTGCACATATAGAATCGTGTGAATGTATCCTATACGCATGTGCTTACTTGATATACTTTGATATACTTGCGATACTTTCCGCCTGGAGAACCACTCAATTGAGCGAGCTCGGTAGTGTAATTAGCCTCTGGCTCCATGGCCATGGAAACACACTTCCATAAACGCTGCTGACGATCCTTCTGCGGGGTCTTAAAGTGTCACTCCATTGATATCGGCTCATCTTCTCCATGAACGTATTTATGTACATACGAGTATGAGGAATAAATCATCCCTTTCACACCTGTCCTTTATCCCAGTCCACCCTCCATCCAACCATTCCACTTGGCAGGAAAATTTGATAACCACAGAAACATGCAAAAAGCATTTCAACTTTTGCCTAGCCAGGTAATTCGGCAAATAGGTAAAATACTTACCAAATGCTCTTACAACAGAGAGCTCTGCAGAAACACTCGACTATACATCGTACTCTGTGTGTCGTTTACATGGAAAACTTTTCCATGTCGAATCTTTTCCGACAAGCAAAACTTTTCCAAATTTTACGATGCCGTTGCCATTGCCATTGCCGTTGATGTGCATAGATGGAAATTATTAAAGTGCTCAAGGGGAGCTCTGGGCAAGGCGTCCTATTATGATTTATTCATTTCAATTGACCTGCCATGCCAAATCCGATTAAGCGATTAGTTGATTTGGTATTTTGTGGGAGAAAATGTATTGGAAATGCATTCGAATTTTCATTTGGTGGCAATTAAAGGCATTAAATGCGTAATTAGAGCATCACTTTTTTCCCATTACCATCAGACATAGAAAAATGGGACAATTAAATGGCTGCCAAAACATTTTTCCGCATTCGCCCCCCGACGGGATGCCATCAATCAGCAGCAGCTATTATCGATTGAATGCGGATCCGTTCTCTAGCTCTAATTGCTAATGAGAATGTGGCTTAAAAAATGCAATTCAATTGGATGCGCTACGATGCGAATACGATGCGATACGATACGAATGCTTTCCTTTCCGTTCAATTTTGCATTTTGCATTTGCTTGCACAAACATTTGACATTCGGTCAGCTCAAATAAGTGCGCTTGATTGGACGGCAACAAACTGCGGCATCTGTGGCAAGCACTCAAGAATTTGTGCTGTCTCCTTCCGCCTCCATCACGGGGAACTAGGACAGTTTTTGGTCAGTTTCCAGCAATTAAATGCATTGTACGGCATTTCAACTTGATTTGATTTCCATTCTGCACGGCCCATAAGCGGCAATTCGAAGGGAAATTACTGCTAGAAGGCAGAGTCCTTGTACTTGACATATTGTTAAATATTGCAAATGCCTGTAACAGTGGGAAGGAATCGTTGTACGGATGTATGTACCGGCTTTGCAGGAGATGAGCAAATATTTATCATATGTCACGTAGATCGAGTTAATATTCTTGATACGATAAACAAAACTAAATGTGCTCCTGTTCTGTACTCTATCTGAATGCCTTACCAGGTAAGGTATCGTTTTGTCGATACTCTCTGTTCTTTAACCTTCCCCATTGATAAGTGCTGTGCCCAGCAGGAAGTGTTGTAATTCGCACTTTGGCACACACATACACACACAAACACCAGCACACTGCGGCTATCATTTCGTATACTTGATATCTGAGGGAAGAGGCTGACGATGGGGAAGAGGTTGAGGTTGATATCTACGCACAACATTTTGCTGTGTTAGCCTGGGTTTTAATTGTGGTTGCTGTGTGTTGCTGTCTGTTGGCTCATAGCTGGAAAATATGTATATGCAGGATATGAAACGGTTTATGTGGCATTATGGCTCCTACCCAGATATCCCCTCGCCACCCTTTTTGTGTGTGTTGTAGGGCTAGGGATTTTACGACAAGCCACTTCTCAGTCCCATAACCCGGACACCCCTCTCTTGAATGCTAGTTACGTATTTTGGCCAAAATATTCGCCTGCAATTAAAACATTTTTCAAGTCGTTTATTCTCGCTCGAGAGGGAGTGGTTCGAAGGGGGGAAATCTGTAGGATTTTGCTGGCAATTGCTGACCAATTTTGTGGATTTTGGGTTTATGCATTTGTTGGAATTTTTATGGCCTACTTTTATAGCCTGCGCAGGAGGAGGAGGTGTAGTTATTGGGGTCAGAGATCGCAAATTGGTTTATGAATATTAAAAAAGAGGAGGTAGAGTAAATGAATATAGTTAATACTGAGATTATTCCGGGATATAGAAATTCAGTTAATTGGAAATCCATGTGGATAGCCTGCCAACCCTTCCAGCTGAATGTGCCAGGGAAAATCAATTAAAAGCAAATGCTGGGCCCTCAATAAATAAAACCCCAAGAGCCAACCAAGGCCAAAACCCAATCTGAGCCCAAACATTTAGTTTAGTTTTCGAAACACTTTGCCTATGAAAACTAATCGAATTTGTGTGTGAAGTCAAAATGAAATCCTCTTTGCTCTCGAGCCAATTCCAGGACCCACCCATTCCTCGATTTCTAGACATGGCCACAGCAGCAGCAGCAACAATTTCAAATTAATTAATAAAATTTTTGCTTTTAAACAAACAAACAAACAACAAACTGCAAATAGAGACCCTGAGAAAAGTCTTGGCCCCGTACGGAATTTTGGTCAAGAAGTTGCGTGTGCCAAGGCGGCACGGCACGGCACGTGTGTGTGTGATGTCCATTCCTGAAACATTCACCCTCAGCCCTCAAGCCTCGTCCTGGGAAGACATGCCAGAAGACTGGTTGAAAGCCAAACCAAATAGCAAATACTTCAATAAACGAAATTAAATATTTGTGCATGGAATGAAACATTTTCCTCGGGACACAGCGAGGGCGATGTCGAGGGATTGAAAATTGAAAAAGAATCGAACATTTTATGCCTCGAATCGACAACAAATTAAATAATTGCTGCAAAAAGTTTCCCATCTGCAAATATTTCAACAAATGAACGCAAATATACCCACCTACCACTATTGTTTTCCACGCTTTTTCAATTATTGTCTGAACTTTTGGCCAAACATTGTCTTATTGGAGATTTTCTATGCATTTTAATATATACATACATAAATATGTACATTTTGTGGTATTCGCTCCGAATCCACACTCTCTTCTTGCTTCCCAATCTCGGTTGGTAGCTGTCAAATATTTTGTTTGGAAAATTGTTTAACTTTTGACAACAACTAGTACTGAACTCTTTCCTCACTCAAGTGTTCGACGCTCATTAGATGTTAATTGGGCAATTGTAAGCCGCACCGAAAGGTGGATCTGCCGAAGTCCCTGCCTCGGGCCCACAGAAAACACCTTACTGATGTCTGCCCCCTGGCAAAAGTCAACAGCGGGAAACGGGCAACAGGCAGCATCAGCGACCACTCGGCTTTGAATGAAACTAATTAGGCGCAAACTTAATTAATATTTGATGAATTATTTGACCTTTTGTCTGATAACCATGGCTGCTCGAAAGAAGAGTAAAAAAAAAGTACCGAGGTCCCATTCCCAAAAATTCTGGAAGTGACCCTGACAACCGACCGCCGACCCAAAAGACAGACAAATAAAGAAAACTTTTTAAGGATTTTTCTAAAATTGTGCTTCATTTGGCCAAGAAGAGAGGCCATGATAAGCTTGTCGCTAGGCAGGATGGGGCTACCACCAAAAGGACAAAAATAATGCCTATGGCTGGGGTGTGAGGAGTGGGAAGTGCGCCATGGTGCAATTCAAATCATAAAACGGTAAGGTGAGACGAGGCGCAAAAGTTTTTCTAATGTTTATTGGTGAAACTTTTGAATTTTTTTTACAACTTTTACAAAAAGTTTTCCTCTTAATTCTCTTCGTCTGTCTGATGCCCTGTTGTTGCCTAGGCCCCTGGTCTCCTGGTCATTTTAAAGTTTAAATTATACTCAGAGAAAGATAGAGATAAAAAGAATGCGAACAGAAGGAGAGACCATGGGGTCTGAGTGCCTGGAATTCAGAGATTGTCAGCACATTAGGCCTAAAAGGACGGAGAAGCCTTACTTCGAATTAAACTTTTATCGCATCAATTCCAAGACTTTTTCCAGCGCTTGCGTTGCCATTGGCAAAGTTTCATTGTTGACGAATTTCAGATATTAATTCGTTTATTCAAATTTGTCCGAGTCCGACTTCGAGTCCGAGTCGCAGATAACGCACAGCACACTTACCTGAAAGAAACAAAGAGAGAATACAAAATAAATTAAAATTACTTGGCTATTCATAAGGATCATCATAGAGCCCCACATCCCAGAATCCCGAAATCGTATTGTAGTAAGTTTATTATGCTCTGATAGCTCTGCAAAATGATGTCAGTACCTGCTATTGCTTTGCTCTTCTACAATCTATTTCTGTATATGCTGGCATGGCACATCGGGAGAATAGAAGAGGGTAAGTGCCACATTTCCAAACTCACAATGAAATAATGTCTGGAACGCAACCCATTTCCAGATCCACCCGACAATCAGCACAGCCTCTTGCACCTCATACCGATAGTTGGGAAATTTATTGCTAACGAGCAGCCACTGATGAAATTTATGATGGATGACCCATTCAGTGAGTTCGGGGACAGGTTTTGGATCACAAATCTGGGGATAAACCTACTGCTACTGATGCCAGCTGTCTTCCAGGTAAGATCTTTTAAGATCTGTGCTTGAAATTCTATTCAAAGACTCCCCAATTTATAGCCCCGCGAACTCAGAACCAGGCTAGTGATAGTTCCAGTGATTTTAATTTGGAATTTGTTCGTCTTCCAGCGGGTTCTGGTGTATATTTTGATGACCGCTTGGGCACTCTGGCAGGGACAGATGGGCCACGAGGTCTTTCAGTTTATCTTTTGCGGCCTGGCGATGAGCACCCTTCACATGGCTCTCATCTGTAGGTCTATATGTTTCTTAGTCGAAGAAGAAATCTGTAGCAAGTCCTGACCTTTGCTCAAAATGATGCCGTCACAGTCCATGGCGCCTTTAAGTGGGTCCCCGTCCGCCCTTCCGACATCCGTCCCCGTCTTAGTTTTGCTACAAATACTGGGCCATCGGTTCAACTAATAAATATCCCAGAGAAAACACACATATAGAGGTTTCCCCTGTACAGCACAGTCCGTGTCTGTGACACAGATACTCGCACGAGCATGGACAAATGAATCGCAGCTGAGCTGTCCAGGGCATAGGCAGGCCAGGGGCTGGGGAATGGGAAAGTAAAACCATTAAATATTTGCGGTTAAACGCACCAAAAACAAACCGCAAAAGTAAATCATATCCAGAGTAGACATCGGACATACCAAGGAATTTCCTCTGCTCCACTCTTGTACGCAAAAATATTAGATTAGAAATTAGGATAGCCAAGGCCATGGACAAGGATAGGGGCTGGGAATCGGAAACGGAATGGGAATGGGCAGGCAGCAGACCATAGCGCCATTTACTAGAACATGGTGGGGGGGTAGAAACACGAGCAGGAAACCAGTTACCCAACGGCCTGCCAAAAATTCCAAATGGTCCATGGACGAGATGCATAAATCATTGGAGCTGACATTTCACCATTTCATTTGTATATGTGTATGCTAAAGGTTGCCCAGGAGACCAAAGTAGAGGGGTTGCAAGATTTTCCACCGTATTCGTGAGGGTAAAGAATTTTGTTTAAGAGATTTGTCGATTACCTCAAACTGAATGAGTTGAATTGGAAGAGCTTTACCGGACAGAGAGGAAGAGCTGAGCGCCATCGCCATCTGTGAATGCTTATGTTTGTGTGTGCAGAAGCAACACATAAAAACCTGAAAATTTTTCACACAAAAACAAAGAACGGGCTCTTTTGATTTTGAATGTAATGGGGATGGAATGTAATAGGAAGTAAATCTTAAGATCTTCAAGGCAATGTTCTGGGCAGGGAGTTGATAAATCTTTCGGCTGTTCAGTATTTATTATGGAATTAGTATGCTTTACAATAAATAAATAATAAATAAATATAAATAAATAATAAAACAAATAAATAAAATTCAATTTTAAAATTATTGTTAAATTTAATTATTGTTTTCCCTCTCAACTGTATTTCTTTAAACCAAGTACGTATTGTCTTGAAGATCTTAATATTTAAGATTCTTCCTATTTCCCGCCATGTAATTTGAAATTCTATATCGAAAATAAATACTTTTAATACTTTTTTCCGACTTTTTACTTTCAACCAATCAAAATTCAAAATCACACAGGGCTCTCTGTTTGCTAAAAACTGAGCCACATAAATCATTTTGCAGTTGAATGCGAACGACGCTGACGAACATCCGAGCAAAGTGGAGGAGGATGCGGGACTCGACTCGAATTGACTGTTGCCCTTGCCCTGGGCATATGACTGTGTATCGTTACTAAAAGTCATTCGCCAGCAGAAGAATGATAGTGGGATTGGTTTTAGCTGATGCAGAGTCAGCTACACAGACTGGTGTGTGCTTGTATCTTGTATTCGTATCCTACTCGTAAGTGGGTCAGTCGAGTTAAATACTGGCTAAACTGTTTGGGTTTGGCAGTGTTGGCTAACGAATCAATTGAGACTAAGCAATGATACAGTTGGCAGGACTAGCTGTCAGCTGATTATTATACAATTTCATAGTTTTTTTTTGAGCATTTCAGTAACTCTTAAAGCAAAATGTCGCTGTGGAAACTACTACGAATCTGTGGCTCCAGCCGCTCCAACGCACGATCAGTGGCGTCTCTAGGCAAGTCAAAGTACGACTACGATTTGGTGGTGCTGGGCGGCGGCTCGGCGGGACTTGCCTGTGCCAAGGAGGCCTTGGACAGTGGCGCCCGAGTGCTCTGCTTCGACTACGTAAAACCCACTCCCGCGGGCACCAAGTGGGGCCTGGGCGGCACCTGCGTGAATGTGGGCTGCATTCCCAAGAAGCTGATGCATCAGGCCTCTCTGCTGGGCGAGGCGGTTCACGAGGCGGTGGCCTACGGCTGGAATGTGAACGACCAGAACATCAAGCCCGACTGGAAGAAGCTGGTTAATTCCGTGCAGAGCCACATCAAGTCCGTAAATTGGGTGACGCGCGTGGACCTGCGCGACAAGAAGGTGGAGTACGTCAACTCAATGGGCGCCTTTGTCGATCCCCACACCATCGAGTACTGCGTCAAGGGCGGCCCCAAGCAGCGAGTGTCCTCCGAGTATGTTGTGGTGGCGGTGGGTGGACGTCCGCGCTATCCACCTATCCTGGGAGCCACTGAGTTCGGCATCACCAGCGACGACATCTTCAGCTACGACAAGGAGCCCGGTCGCACCCTCGTAGTGGGTGCTGGCTATGTGGGTCTCGAGTCCGCCTGTTTTCTCAAGGGCCTAGGCTACGATACCACGGTGATGGTCCGCTCGATAGTGCTGCGCGGCTTCGACCGTCAGATGTCCGAGCTGCTGGAGGCCATGATGTCTGAGCGCGGCGTCAAGTTCCTCCACACAACGATCCCCAGCTTGGTGGAGCGCCAGGGGGACGGGCGACTGCTGGTGAAGTACCGTAACACGACGACTGAGAAGGAGGACAGTGACACCTTTGACACCGTTCTCTGGGCTATTGGGCGCAAGGGTCTGATCGAGGACCTCAACCTGCCGGCAGCCGGGGTGCAGACCAAAAACGACAAGATCGTGGTGGATGCCACTGAGGCCACCAACGTGCCACACATTTTTGCCGTGGGCGACATCATATACGGCCGTCCGGAGCTCAGCCCGGTGGCTATTCTGTCGGGCCGCCTACTCGCCCGCCGTCTCTTTGCCGGCTCCAAGCAGCTAATGGACTACGCGGATGTGGCCACTACAGTATTCACGCCGCTGGAGTACTCCTGCGTGGGCATGTCCGAAGAGATGGCCATACAGATGCACGGCCAGGACAACATCGAGGTATTCCACGGCTACTACAAGCCCACAGAGTTCTTTATACCACAAAAGAGCGTGCGCCATTGCTACCTAAAGGCTGTAGCCGAGATCACCGGCGACCAGAGGATCCTTGGGCTACACTATATTGGACCTGTGGCTGGAGAGGTCATACAGGGCTTTGCGGCGGCCCTGAAGTCAGGTCTCACCGTGAAGACCCTGCTGAATACGGTGGGCATTCACCCGACGACTGCCGAGGAGTTTACGCGCCTCTCGATTACCAAACGCTCGGGTCGGGATCCCAAGCCATCCTCCTGCTGCAGTTAGCTGGATGGTGCCAAATAGTATATTAAAAAGAGTTCAATAAACAAGATAACCAAAACCTCTAGATAACTTTCAGGGACTGGACTGGCTCTCTCTGCCACGACATCATTACACATGGCTGTCAGGGCGGGTTTGGAGTGTAGAGTGTGGAGTGCGGAGTGCGAGTCAGAGTGCGTGCACCCCGTAGGGCTTTGGGTCCTGGCCATGTCAACGGAACACATGCTCTGGGTTGGCTCCGGTCAGGACCCGCACTGGGGAGCAGTCACTGCCACAAAAAGCGGACTCAGAGTGACAATTTTGCGCAAAAAGAAGACTAATTGTCTGGCACTTGACTGGCACACTTCACGCACTGCTTGAGGAGACACCCATAAGGCCCAGGGCACCACCAGTCGTGGACTGCATCTCTACTCTCCCTCCCTGTCCTTTCTGGTGGACAGCACCCGCAACACACACGTTCTGCTGGTTTGACGCTTCAATATAAATAACATCCCCGATAAGCGGAAAGAGTCGGACAATTTTGGAGACGGCGCGGAGTGGCTGGCTGGCAATTCTCAGGGCGTTTGCATTTTTGACATATGAAGTTTTAATTTATGAAGTTCTGCCCGAAAAAAAAGCTCAGCTCTGTGCTACTTTTGGAGGTGGTCTCCCATATCCGAGTCGCATCTTTGACCCAAAATGGCACCATAAACTGTGCCACAAACACAAACACACGCTAGAAAACACTTTCCATGGCTGCTCGTGGCAAGGGATCTCCTCGGTATAGAAAAAATTTTGATTAATGTTTACTTCCGATTTGCATAAATCTTGCTTTAGCATTTTTTTTTTTTTTTTGTTTGGGGCAAATTTCGACTCTTCTCCTTTCGGCCTCTTTCTTTCGTTCGTTGCTTTGTTATAAATTATTTTTTTATTGCAGCATCCACCTCATCTCGTCCAAGGACGAAGGACGAGCGTATGGTCGTCCCCGGTTAAAATGTTTGCCTCGGCGTTATTTATTAGTTTGTTTGTGCCGGTCATCAGGAGTGGCCACCGTGTGGCCAGGTGGCAGCTCTCGTATCCAGGTCAAGGCGCCATTTGCAGAGCATTGCAGTACAGTCTCCAGCACTTCAGTTCTCCAGCCATAACTTTTCGATTAGCTTTGCCAACTCATTTAACAAATGGTCTTGCTGGCTGACAGTAAGAAAATATAACATATTCTATACCCAAGAAAAAGGAGAGCTGCGCCTGCACTCGTGCTCGTAGTTTCCATTGCAACACCTTGGAATCATAAATTGTGACCTGACCGCCCCGAGATCTAGCACCAGCATCAGCTTCAGCTGCAGGACAAGCAACTGGAGAAGCACTGAAGAAGGGCACGAGTGAGTGGCCAGTGAAAGTTTTGTTAGTCCGAAAGTTCGGCTGTAAGTTAAAGCACCCGCGGGTAATTCGATAAAGCGTAAAATTTTGCACTTAAACTATTTTCATCTTCTGTTGCACCCCAGCAGCCATCGCTCCCCCATTCTCCCATCGCTCTGGCATTTGGCAATTGCATTGTTGCTCCCATTATTGTTCTCCGGTTTTTCGGTTCTTGTCAGCTTGACCTGTTCCGTAGAACAGAATAGCTGGAGAAATGTCTTGAATTACAATACACTGCAAGTGCGGAAAGTTTTCTCTCTGATTGCGTGTCCAAGTGGCTGGGCCCCGGGTCGTTGCTCACTTTGTGGCCAACTGCCACACAGCTTGATTGAGTGCTCTCGAGTGCGAAACTGTACAGGAAATGTTTTGCGAACTGAAGCTCTCAAGCTGAGACATTGGCCAGTTAATCGGATGCGATATGGAAAACAAATTTCGTTTCGGGACAATGGCAGTGGTGAGCCGTTCCTCCGTTGTTGCACACAAATTGCTCACAAAATTGTGCAATCAGCTCCAGAACAAAAGCGTAT